TAAAAGCTGTAACTCGGCCAACAGCTTTCAAGCACTAAGTAACCCTCTGAACTATCTTGCTACTAAAAATTATTCATCTACACTTAAATATTTGACCTAATTATGGTAATCAGTGTAAAATTAATTATGCTTAAACAAAAATGATCATTGCTAATTACCTACATAGCCTTTCTCCTTCACCTGGGCGGAGTTTCACTTTGTACCTGATTATATATTATCATGTTGGTAAAAGCATGCCGATCTCAAAATGCCACAAACAAGCAGTTATTCGAAGTGTCGGTTGCATTTCCAAATGCAATCTTGGTTGTTTTCTCTATTATATCAGTGTATTTATAAAATTTTATCTCACGCGCTTTACTGACTCAATTTTATTTGCTACTACATGTATCTTTAATTAAGCTTTGAAAATATAATGAAAGATATTAAGCTATTTACATGAAAGGATATGTTCAAAAAAAGAGTTATTCGAAGTGTCAGTTGCATATTCAATCTGTTTTTCCCCCATCATAGTATTGTTGCGAATATGTTTTATCTAACACGTTTTACCGGATGCATTGTTTTTCCTAACAACCACAACATGTATTGTCATGATTAATACCATTATGGCAGTTCGCTACTGTGAATAAAAAAATAGTGATAAAAATTAAGCGTTGAAAATAAAAGATATTAAGCCATCTATAATTCAAATACACTATTAATTTCTTCCGTTTTTCGAATCAGTAAATTTTTTCAAATGGACATTACAGACAAAATCTGATATTGTCGGTAGCAAATGCTTTTTGGCGACAAAAGCTTTTTGTTCTTGCGATTAGGTGATTTATTGGTCTGCACTGATTGGATTACAGGTGAAAGTAAAATAAGGAACTAAAGGTATAAAGAGACAGATTACACGACAGGTATGGAATCAGGTTTCACCTGGCCAAAAATGCTGTTAAAGAAGTCGTTACCACATCAAAGATTGTTTGGTAAACCTATACCTTCCGTCAAAAGTCAGTTTCAACGAATGGCGGCAGAGAAAAAAAAAGACTTTGGGGCTATTTAGATAGCTGTTTTCTTTTCTTGACTAACATCTTCAGCAACATAACTAAACTGGTATCTAGTTTCACAAAAACTACCACTTCGCTTTCTTTTGTCTGTTCTCGGGAAGATAAAAACTGACTTTTATTAACCGTCAGAAAATGACAGAGGTTGTGGAAGTTATCTGGAGGGGAATTAGGGTTGTGGTAGTTGCTATTATCATGAATGGCTTATAGATGAGGAAACCCTAGTCACGGATCCTCGCGACTGACATAATATATTATATCATGGATAGAATTAAAGTTTATAGAGTGCTAATGCAGATAAGCTCTCATAGTTTCCATGTGATTTATGCATTTTGCGCTGGGAGGTGGCCAAATTTTCTCTCTCAACGTTTTTTCTAGCTAATTCATACTTGAACGATAACAAGAAGACATACATTATGTCATTATATAAAAGACTCGCAGGAACCGAAAGATGGATATAAAATAGATGTTTGAAAATTAAAGGTAACATTTTATGAGTAGATTTAACAAGTAAAAGAACCCAATTAGATATGTATTTTCTTCAATTAGATTGTTACTGGGGATCACGTTCATAAAGGAAAATATGTCAAATTACAAAGCTACAATAGAAATTTGTTAGCTATGTGACCTTCTCTAATAAAGAGCGGTTTCAGATGTTCAGGACACTCTGTCTCGTGCAAGACACTAGAAATAAGAAGGAGGTATGCAGTAAATGTAGGAATATAAACTAAGACATATTACCTACAAAATGATCACCAAATATGGTGGAATCTTTAGATCGGATTTTAGCTTTTAAAAATAGTATGAAACTACTGCTTTAATATTGACATTAAAAGTTTAATTTGATGAAGAAGGAAATACATTTGTAAGAAAAAGATAGACACGTCAAATATGGTACTTCTTTAATTCTTGATGTAAAACATTACCCGCCTTTTAGTCGTTCAGTTTGTCTACAAGTGCGGTAACACCATCTTTGTGTATTTGCAAATGAGAAGAACTATAGAAAGTCAACCAGCGAATGATCGTGTTTTAATTTAGGTGAAAACAGTTGTACACAGAAGGTAGAATTAAAGTGTATTGTAGTCTCGCACTGGTGCTTAATATAATGATAAAAACTACAAACAATTAGAACTTCTAATTAACTTGTTAGCGAAAGAGAAGTCCTCTTCAAACCGCTCTTTACCGATTGTTGACAAGTGACAGAAAAATAAAAGCGTTTTGATAATCAAATAATGTAAACAATAGTCTTATTGATGTACACCAGTCACACAACAATTATATCGTGCCCTATTCTCACGATGTGGCTTGTCTTAATTCTACAAGCGATTCAATTCGCTTTTTATACAAAGACTCAATTTTCCTTTTCTCTCACGTCCCATTCTGCCATATTCTATAGGCAGCGTATCGATTAAACATAATCCGGGTTCTGACTACTGAGACTAAAGCGACCTCTATTGTGATTGAAGCGACCCCTATTGTTTAATTTGATGGTTGATATTCATGGTGTAATGATTTCTACTTTTGCTGCTTTTTCTAAGTCCCATAATGAAGTAGGGGAATTAGACGGGAGACGACCTTCTAATGAAGTAACAGATTAAGAGAGGTTTTTTTCCCCCTGATTTGCGTGTCGCTGTTTTTTCCACGTCGAACGATAAAACAAGTGTCATTGTATCATATTATCGCATTGAGTCAATTAGCCAGGTTTTAAAGCCAGTAAGAAGCTTATTGAAGAAATTCTATCACACGTTAACAGATGTTATTCCTCAGTAATATCACAGAATTAAATTGATCTAGACTTTAGACACGGTTATTCTTTCAAACACTTATTTCTGGTATCTCGCAGGAATAAGATTTGCACACAAGTCACGACTTTATTATTGCCCAGAAAATCTATAATATTTCAAAACAAGGTTCAAATATTTGGAATATGAACCAAGGCTATTAAGAATTTCATTTAAACAATTTATTCAAGACACAATTTCGCCTTTTTAACCAACAATATATTTTATTATAATATAAGTAGCCTTTTCCACAAGTTAGAAACTGTAACACATATCTCAAACGTCAATAAAGACAGTTAAATTTAAGACTTTTCTATCACGATTTTCTTCTATGAAATGCAGTTGTAAAGTACTCACCTGTGCCCCTCTCCACTAGGGAATTTTCATCTCGGTAGATTTAGTTTCTGGTAACTGCACAATGTAAAATACAAAATTGGTTCCATCTGTAGACGCAAATGCAGTTGTAAAGTACTCACCTGTGCCCCTCTCCACTAGGGAATTTTCCCTCTCGGTAGATTTAGTTTCTGGTAACTGCCCAATGTTAAATACAAAATTGGCCCCATCTGTAGACGCAAATGTTTATCAATTCCGTAAAATTTATCAGGACATCAAATACATTCTTTCAGTTTTGTCCGAGATCAAAGATATCTCAGCCTTCTAAATCTAAGAAAGGGATACGATGTCCATGAAATACGCTGGAAATGATCTTCTCGGTGGTTGCTCTGTAATCTCATTTCCAGATCAGTTTATGTTGGAAATCTTAGTGGCGGGATTCTTTTGTAAATAGTGGATGGGTGGGGTGGGGTGCGAATGGTCTAATACTGTCATTGAGTCAAGTGGCGAGGTTTCAATCTCACATTTGTACTGGACAAAGAGTAGCCTGTTCAACATCGTGGCTTTTATCAGGTTTCTCAAATGGCTAAAGACTCAAACGTATGAGCGAATCCTTGAAATAAAAACTGTATCATGTTAGTGACGAATTGACCTAGTCTGTGTCGAGTGGATGTTAAAAAAAACTTTCTCTCTCTCTCTCTGCCTCTCTCTGTCAGGTAAATGAAGTGAGGCATACATTTTTACCGCTGAGATCAATGTTCTATTTTTCGTTTTGAAGATCTTTGTTGATCGATGTTATGGCAAAAGGGGCATGTTCTAATCGATTTTAATCAAATCCTCGATTCTAATCATTGAATAAAATCGTTTCAAAATCGATATTATCAGACTCAATGTATTGTTTATGAATATTTGACTTTTTAATATGAAATTATGAATTTCTAAAAATACATTTTGTTGCTTGATTTTTTATCTGTTTACATGTCTTCCCTTTTACCACATCATATGGTAGACTGAGAAAACATGCTACAATGAATATAATTATGCAATGGACACACAAAAGAAGAATATATTAAAGACATCTTGCACGCAGAATTTTTATGCCACACTAAGTGTGACAAAGTGTTGATTTTTTTTGTCAGTATATGACGGAAGATCTTGCCGGTTGAGGGGGGGGGGGGGGCTTTATAAAGAGTATGTCATCAATTTGCTTTCTAATTAAGATAAGTCCAAAAGTCTGTGGAAACAAATGAGAGTTTTACAACATCCTATGCCTCTCTTATATCGGTAAAGACGGGCGTGTAAAATGTGCATGTTCTCTGATCAAGTGGCAATGATGCAATGTTCCTGAAAGTTCCAGTTTTGAAAAAGTTCAATTACCGCCGTCTGATGGATCAGGACCAAAATGTATTCTCATGTAGAAACTGGAGGGGGGGGGGTAGTAGCAATACTCCTAATTTCATACATGAAGCATTAAAGAAAACGAACGAATACAATGTTAAAATGGATTGTTTTTCTGTATTTAAAACTCATATAGGTTATATAGGGTCAGCCAGCCAAACAAAAAAACAAAAACAAAAAAAAAACCAACAAAAAAACATCATTGGAAACTATAGGCAATTTCGGTTTTGTTGAAACACAAGGGTTTGTGTTTTGTTTATGATACCAATATATTAATTTTTTGTCAATTTCAAGATGTACCTGGAAACCCCATTATACACCTGGAGTATATTTTGGTTGCATTAAGTAGACTGAAGATAGCCATACGTCGAACAAGAAACCCAGAATAAACCTTTGTATCATTATACATGTGTATAAACATATCAAGTTAAAACAAAAGACACCATTTATCATAAATGATTTATTATCCATTTAAAACATAATATACTTTCAAAACAACTGGAAACGCGCAACCACACGTGTAAATATTTAATAATGATATATAGATATAACATATGACATCCATATATACAAACATACATACAAATAAACCGTTGACTGCACCATATCTTGCCCATTTTTATTTATATCCATTAATTTATTATTTTCTTGTTCATGTGTAAATTATTGAGTCCTAAGAATATAAATTCCCCGTTATGCTAGTCACATCTTAAAAACAATCAACGTGTACTTTTAAATATGTGATATTATTTCTCTTGTAATTTATTTTAAATTCCAAAACATGTCTTTCAATGCACTGATAGCATCTTTACAAAATGAAATATAAAATATATATTCCAGTTAAAGGACCATTACTGGTTTAATTTCACAAACAAAATTCACAATATTCTCATAAATTTGCAACAAAAAGATAATTAGAGCAGACCTGGTATGTGTTAAATTCCAGAAATGACGTCATATTAGGTGCTAATTCCTGCAATGTAGACTTTTGAGTCACATGTTCTACATGTATATTCATTAACATCGACCTATATATTCATCAAAGTGTGTATTATAGGATACAACATGTAAAGTAGCTTATTATGTCATGAATAGCATTTGGAATTTTTTGCTTTATAAATACTTTAATGTTTTGCTTTTAATGTTCTTCCATTGCTTACCGTGAAATATAATATTTATCAGTTTTGGGGCTTAATTTAGCGCGGTATATTCGTCTCGGAAATAAAAGTATTCAATTGACTAAAGCACTTAATAATGATAGAGAATAAAAAAAACAATTTAGTTACTTATACCATTCAAATGCCCATCTATCATTCATCTAGCCTATTAACCATGACAACAAGTCGGAATAACAAGTATGTAACAAATCAAAACGAGGCTGGTGCACGTGATCATTTTTTTAAAGTAAAAACGGTGACTAGAAATATGGCGGCAAAGATAAATATAGGAGATAAAATATTATATACAATAACAATGACAAAAATATTTCAAAATACTTATCTATGTGTATTTTACAAAATAATACACATATTAGTTTACCCCTTTCGCATAGAATACACGGATTATGTATCTTTAATATCCCCCATTTACATTATTATGCAATTTAATGGATGAAAAGTAACACTTAATACAGAATAACAACCATGTTGTATTCTGAAACAAACTGTTATATATATTAAATTTATATTTACCCTGTTTCATAACTATTTTATTATTTTTTATTAAAAAAAAAGGAAAAAAAAAAGAAATTGTCTATTTTCTCTGAATATAGTGATGAGACTACATAACGAGTTCGCCATTTGTAATGAAGTCTATTTTAGTGGTTCTACTGCCATTCTTTCTTTTATTTTTTGTATGACATAGTTCTTTAATTATTTTCTGGATTTGGCGCCATTTCGGAGTCCGGATTACTGAGTCCCAGACAGTTCATTCTATCATATAGTCACATCCTCTCATTTCGATTAGCAGGTCTCGTGTTAAACGTTCAATCAAATCGTCACCTTAAGATAGCTTTAAGCTTATTAATACCGGCATTGATACTCACACGATAAAATCAGCACATTCAAGTCCACTAATACGGCCATTTGTCAATAAAAGGCGCACAAAAGGATTCAAACCTAATATTATAAAGTCCACTTCACATTAGGTGTTGTGCAGGATTAACACACACACAGCCGTAACTAACATGTCGTTCATCATACTAACTCCACCTTAATAATGCCTCGACCCGGGCAATTAATCAGTTATTGCAATTAACGTGCAGAGGTCAAAGAAGTGGCTCACGGGGGTCTGTGAAGGTAGAACAACTTAACATCAATCTCTTTGTGATAACAAAAACTGGATAAGATTATATTGATCCTAATATCAATCAAGTGAAACTCGGGGAGGACAATACAGCTGCGTGTACGGGTTGATATTGTTGGATAAGGGGTTAACATTTGGGGACGTTAGCGGATTGATATTTGGAGTAAATGCGGAGGAATCTGATCTCATCATACCACCATTATTTAACGAACAACTTGACATTCCTGAATATGCATTTCTACTATTCGTGGCACCCATGTCACTCCATAATTGATTACTTAGCGGTTTCATATCAACCGACTCGTTGGGAGGCATTGCACGACCCATTGGAGGCATAAATCCGGCTTTAGACGTGGCCACGTGCGCCAAGGACCATATTTTTGGGCGTAGTCCATTTTCTAAATTGTTGACATCATTAAAATTACAGTTTACATCACTGAGTCCGGAATCGTTGCTGTTCGAACATAATGAATCTGGTCGTTTTGAATCCAAGGGTGAAGGAACAACTCGATGATTTCTTAGTCCTCCCGACGGTGACGCAACGAGAGTTGTCCCCCCTATTCCCGAAGACGAGGCTGTGTTGTGTGGGCCTACATTACATGATAAACCGTCATTAACATGTTTTATAGGGTCTTCCTGGAAGAGTGATGCATGATGGACAGGGTCAGGAGGGGTCACAGTGTAACTAGGTGTACCTGCAAAAAATCATTACACTATATTAACAAAATACCTAAACCAAAACAAATAAGTAGCAGTAAAACTCCTATAAACTGAACCACATAATCATATGAGCAATAAAATATTCGTTAAACTTTACATGATGATAATCTAGTACTTTCCAAAGAGATTTATCACAAAATTAATATTACACTGGTTAATCGTTACTTAAAGTTTTTGACGAGATGACGTCATAAAGGTCAATTAAAACTCCACAGATCTATAAATGTTTGAAAATAGTTAAAATCCCGTAGCATGTCCAATGTGTTATTGTTGTTGTTTATTATGTAAAGGAATGTCGCAAAAATAGACAATAAATTCTATTCTTTCACCGGTAAGAAATAATTGTGGCTTATCTGTCTCATAAAATACACTTCAACGGTAGCTAACGTCAGACTAGATGGCGCTTTTATCATTAAGGTTAGGCTCACGGTCCCAAGATGTCAAAGTTCAGACATGACTATTGGTACTAAATAGTATTTGGCTTACTATAAGTGGTGATGTATGTTACATACTAAGCATTATTACCTATATATCTCCCAATGTTAGAGGCCGGATCAACTTACGTGTTGGCAATTGAAAATTGATGTTCAACATTTTAAGAGCCATTACCAACGTAACTCGTCTTAATATATTACGAAGACCTGAGCAGGCAAAACATTGGCCATACGTAGTGGGGAGCGAGTCTAAATTATTTATTGTAGAACTTCTAAAATTACCACAATCAGCTATTTTTTTTATGATTTTTAAAAAAGAAATCGAAAGATTAAATTAATAACACAATGTTCTAGTATTTTAAGGCGAGGTGTCTTATAGATACAATTGATAGTAAAATAAATTTATCAGATTATATTAATGATCATCTAACATTGTCTTGTATTTGGCCAAAGAGAGAAAATCATAAACCAGTTCTAAATACTGATTAAATTACATTTTAAAACCGCAAAGCTGAATTATTAATCACTAGAAGAATGCCCGGCTTCGCTCGGGGGTCATAAGCCCGAAACCGGAAGTGGTAGACTAACGCCACCTGGCCTATGTTACTCCCCGGTCCGAGCTACCCCTATACCCCACATTTCAGACTCGGGGCAGACCTAGTGTAGCCGCCAACCCCGAACAGACAGACAGACAGACAGACAAACGACATTCACAAATATTAGTATAGGCTATGTGGGGAAGGCAAGGCTCTTTCACCAAGTTAAATTATAAATCAATTAGTAAACATATAATAATTTGATCTATATATAAGTTTAGAACATAACCTATACTGGACGTCATGGGGTTTTATTACTATACTTTGGATACACTGTTATGGCGATACTTTGATTCCCGCCACTAAAGATCATGTAGTGTAGTTCCTAGTATTAGTGCCATGTTTTTATGTCCACTGACAATTATTCAAGCTGATAATTTGGAGATAAAGGAAGGTTACAGAGTTCGTTTCCTCATGTCTTTAAATGGTGCTAATAAATGGTTTGGAATTAATAAAGACGCCAAAGTACCCTTTAACTTCATTATACACCACTAACGTAATCAGTTAAACAACATAGAATTTCGCTTAGCAGGAATCGCAAGAGAATTGAATCCAGTTTGGAATCTTTATTGATTATCAGACAGTGAAATCCTGCAATTTATTCCAGACTTAAGCTCTAACTGTGATCAGACATAATTTAACTCCCGTGTTTAAGATAGTTTCAATACAAGTTTCAGTAATCCGTGTGTTGCTAGCGATAAAAAGTATCCTGTTTAATTCTGTCTCAATTCTTTTCAATGACTTGAGTTTAATGCACTAAGTTTAAAGTGTTCATTAAACCATGAACGGAGTTCTTAACTCTTAACGATTTAGATGTTTCCTCAACTCTTTGATATCTGAAATCTTGTTTAGCAGGATTGAAAAAACAAACTACACATCGCATATATCATTTTATATATTACATTAAATTTCATATGTAAATAGGAGTAGGGTCACCTGTCCAACCTCGTGGGTTTTCTCCGGGCCCTCCGGTTTCCTCCCACTGCTAAAGACCCCTACGCGCAAGCAAATTATTGAAATAAAATTAAAACCATATGTTAGTCCCGAAATGACCTATTTTGTGTCGAGTGGACGTTAAACCCCATTTCTTTCTCTCTCATATGTAAATAATTTTAGTTTTCCTGACTTTCAATTTTCGTTATTCAAAATTTATTTTTGACAATTTTATCATATTTATGTTCTTAATATGCATCATATTTTATGCTTAATACAGAATATTTAATGTTTTAACTTATTGGATGAAATTATCATCTTGTATTTTAGCACAAATTCTGTTACTTTTTTCATATCAAACAAATTTTCTCTGAATTGAATTTCAATCTATTTTTCCTCAAACTTTGTCTTATTTCTATTCAAGTTTTAACTATGTCCCGTCTTCATTAGCTATCTCGGTTCATAACAGTAGGACGTTAAGTCCCTTTTCATTTATAATTATGTCTAAACATCAATCAAATTTTCTCTAAAATTGAATCAAATTCCCAAATCATGATATTTCTACATTTCATTAAGCATGTTAGACATATTTATATAATGATAATCTTATCAAGTACTTTCCTTCACACTTAGTTAAGGTTCATATGTTTTACCTCATATATGCCTTGGCGTACCTGTTGGGGTATATCTCGCGCTGTGCTCGTGACAGCTAATTAATAACAGGTAAACTATGAGGGGTGACAGTTTGATTGAGCATCAAGGGATAATTGTCAACCAGTCAACATTTCTATCCTAATTTGGACAAACGAGCCAAATATTTGACAAATTCGAGTAGGAGTTTCAGGTGAAATTACCTAACTTCATACAAGACCGGCCAAGGTGTCAATTTTTATATGATACATGAAACATCTTAGCTGACCATTATTACAAACTTCCGTCCATTTACTTATTGTCTCGTCAAATTAATGTCCAACTTATCAATTTGCAAACATTTGAAAGCTAAAGTTATTTACAACATAACCTTATCATTTTATATTCATGAATGAGTTCATTTTTAAACATTTATTTTAAATTTAAAAGGTATCTATACGATACTACACATTGTTTTGTTTTAAAGAAAAAAAAACAATTATACCAATTCATTTTCAATTTGCATAATAATAGGATTTACAAACTTCCTTGTAACTATAAAATCACAATGCATGAAATATTAATATATCTAGAGTATACCAATGCACTAGAGACGAAGTCAGTGGATTGTAAAATATTGTATTTGATAATAAGCTGTTTTCTTGCATTTTAGAAAAAAACACGAACACTTAGGTTTGTATTAATACATAATCGCTTACCCACTGGTGATTTGCATTCTTCCTTTATGCTTTCCTCTTTTTCTCTATCATCATCATCACTATCCGCTTTACTCTTTTCTCCATCATCATCGTCATCATCATTATCTTCACCTGATCTGTTTCTGGGTGACCAGGTCATCTTATTTTCTTTCTTCAATCGTCTTCTTGCGTTGGCGAACCAGGTAGAAACTTGTGTTAAAGTCATTTTTGTGATAATGGCTAACATTATTTTCTCCCCTTTCGTAGGATAAGGATTTTTCTTGTGTTCATAAAGCCAGGCTTTTAATGTGGTCGTGTTTTCTCGGGTGGCATTTTTACGTCTAGACGCACTGTTTAAATCTACAGTACCATATCTAAATAAAATAGAAAATTTAAAAATTCTTTAAAATTAAAAAAACGTTTTGGTTTTTTTTCTCCTCTGTTCGGCTATTTGAAATACAGATATATAATTGACACTTGAGACTTGTTCATTAAGGTGAAAATCGTTATATATTTATTTAAGTTAATGAATCTAAATGGACATAAATAATGTCAAATTACTGTTCTTAGTATACGTAATGCTTAACTATGTAGGCATAGTGGTTTTCTTTTATTTTAAAGCTTTTAAATTAGAACTCAGGTGATTTCTTCAAACAATTGTAATCTGTTATTGCAAGCGACTTGAATATCTTACTTTTCATGTGAAAATTATTTAGTTTCACGATTTTGTAAATCAGAAGTTTGGATAAAATTAAGTATGCGATTAATATTATCTTAATTGCTTTGTATTATCAATAAGTTGCTGCCAAGGTAAAGTAGAGGAAGGGCCATTTAAACAGTCAACACTAAGCTGCTAAGCTTTATTTATCTAGTAATTTTAGTGAAGCTTTCTAACGGGTCTAGAGCTTGTTAGGAGTGGAATTTATCACGTATGAAACCCTAGTAGTCAATATAGAGAGGCTTTAAACACTTAAACTACCAATAGTTTATTTATTTTATAAATACCCCTATCTTTAGTCAACTAACAATGAGATTTAAACTGTCAATAATCATCAATGTCGGAACTTTAATATAAAACATATATTTTTTATTATGTAAAATGACATGTAAATCTATGTACAAATTAACAGATAACATGACTATATTTTTAAATAATTAATGTCATAATGTTTAAATTGTCAGCTAGTGTAGATATGTTCTTGGATTGCTTTTTTATTTATTTAAAGATTTACCGTAATGTCTTTATATCCACAATCATATATAATACATACCATCGATTGAAAACACATATCACCAAGGAAAATATATTTATCACCAAAAATCTTACGCGATACATTCAAGGACAAGGCAGCTTTTCTGACAATCTACAAATACCAACGTACCTAGATATCTACAGCTGACTCGTTGGTTGGCGTTTTGTTTAATTTAGTGTGGGTTTCATATTCAAATTGTAAAATTTAATACGGCTATAGCAATAGCATAATCTAGTCATTTTTTTTCAAAATTTAATATTTTGTTCATTGAATCAAATAATTAAATCTGCCCAGGATAGACGTTGACAGACAATAGTATTATATGACCGTACCTTTATTTTGATACAACTAGTAAATATTGTGGATTTATAAATAAACAAAAATAAGAGGGACATAAATAAACAACATTACTTAATTGACCGCACAACAATACTCACAACAGTTCTGGAAGACAGGGGCTGACTTTTTGTAATCGAAGCTACATGTAGCCATGATTATCTTGAAAACGCCAAGAGACTCATTGTTGGAAACATTGCTCCGAATGAATTCAGTAATTGTCTTCCATAGAACCGTTGTGATTATTTTGTGGTATAAATAACATTTCAAGAAATCGTCGGATGAATTATTTTTTACAAATTATTTTCGAAAATGAAAGAAAGAATACTCACGCATTTGTGTATGGAAATGTTGACATGGGTGTATCGTAGGGGTAGCAGGGGGCTGATTGATTTATCCCTCGCCATGTTTCACCGGCTTCTTTAAGATCATAATGACCATTCTGAAATTATAACCGTAATATTTATTATAACTCTCTTAAATAATACAGTCGGAACAGGGCAACTATAACTACAAACTGACAAGACACAAACATTGTAAGCCAAGAGGAAAGTATGTGTATAGGATATCAATTTTAAAATATTAAATAACAGATAGGCGTTTATCATATTCAAAATAAATTATATGCCATCAAATTTTTGATTAATTCTTTTAATAAAGGGTCGCTTATAGTGTATATAGAGTGTCGGACTTTGGAAAATTCTCAAACTCAATATTTCTTAACTTAAAGGAATCATGAAAGTTGATGAGTGTCGTAACCTAGTTTCCATATAAACCACCACACAACCTTTCTAATTCCTGGTAGTATTGCTACTAAGCGTTTAGGTTTTTATAGAAATAAACAAAGAAAGATACAGAGAAATGCCAAAGGTTGGAGAGGAACGAAATCAAAGAAAAGGAGGACAACGAGAAAGGCATGACAAGTGGAACCAAGAACGTGGGTTTTTTTTTCTCTTTTGCTGAAGAACATTGCTTCTGAGAGAAAATATTAGAAATGGGTGAAATTGCAAATCAACAAATTATAACAGTAAAGGCTGTTCGAAATATACATAAATCCAATAATTGAAATATGTATGATAGCAAGTCTTAAAGCAGTCAAACACTAAGCCTTAAAATCAAAAATAGTAAGCAATTCGTTAGAATAATTGGGGTATTAGAAATGCCTAAGTGGAAGCCAGGAACGATATCAACAATGTCAGATAATTTTAAAATTTCTATAGATATGGAAACTAAGATACATGCTTTATACAGTTTTACTAGATAAAACAATATTAAACATCTAAACTTAGTTCCTAGTATAGAACAATTTCATGGCCCTCCAATGTATACTCCTGTGCTATATGCCCAAAATGAAAGGGGTTGGTATAGAAATGAAATGAAATGGGGTTTAACGTCCTACTGTTCTGCTCCGACCTTAGCTAATGAAGACGGAGGTTGGTATAGAGGTTAGGTAAATACAACAAACTTCAATAGAACAAACAACATTTTTTCCATATTTATATGATATCTGCATGCACCAAAACGAAACGAAAATATTTTTGAAAAAAAAATAAAAGAAATTTCCCAATTCCAAATAATGTTTACATAACAAAAAATATAAACCTGCTGATTATCCAAATTTATATATGTATAAGAAGGCTCTTGTTCAAAATACATTTGCTGTTCCTAAAATAATCATAGCATAACTATAAATGTCTTTCGTGCTATAATCATACATAAAGTCAATTAGAGCATGTGGTACCACTTATAGCGTTTATAGAAAGATCATAATATCTTATATCTAATGATGTACGTGTGAAACGCATATAAATACTAAAATGTCAGTATTATGGATCCTGAAGAAATTTCGAGCAAATGTGACAAGTTGATCTAGAAGAAATTTCGCACTGCAAATCGACTCTTCATTGTTTTAATGCAGCTTCGTGAGTTATCATGCACGAGGTAGCAGTTTCCTTTCTGTTGATCTATATTAATCACTGAATCCCAAAATCACATAATTACTCGGGTACAATGAGTTAATTTTATAAAAAGCAACGGGTGGGGATATTCGTTATATAATTAACAATATGACTCTAATATGCGCTTAGATTAAACACCGTGTAGTGTCATATCAAAACACCTGTTAAAGTGTCTACATCAATCACTGTCATCCAGACTTATTTACCTACTTCACCGACTTGTGATTGAGGGTGACAGAACGCACACACTTGATTGTGAATAAGTTTACCTTGGGGTTATTTGGTCAGCGAAAAATCAGGGAAAAATCGACCACGGACTATTTTCACTTCCCTTTACTTACAAGATCATACTAAATTAAATTAACATAAATCCTTGCGAAGAATATTAAAGATAGTTACCTAAAACTTATTTTAAATAACTAGTATGTATGATCGTGTTATCAATATATACAAAGTTTAAATTTCTTAAATAATGTCTATGAAATAACATTTCTTTTAAAAGGAATGGATGTTCTAATTAAAATTAGAAATTAGAATTTGCACACCGGTGCGCATTCCGAGGGAAAGAGTGGGCAACATTTTTGATAATGTGTCATCATTGAGCTAGAATATTTCGACTGTTTGTCCCTTTAAATACAGATGTAAACGACATAGAGATAACGCGGTATTAATGTCACTCAATCAAAATGCAAGTAAGTAAACAAAGGTGGTTATTAAAAAAATAAAAAGTGGTGCTATGCCGACTATCACGTGTTAAGGTGGATATTTAGCCTCTTATTTAAACGACATTAATAGGATTTCTGATTAATATAGTTAGAAAATGAAATGGGGGTTCAACATCCGACGGTTCTGCCCCATCCAGTTTAATAAGACGAGAATGTGCTAGAAAGGGAGATTTTGCGCGGACTGTGGCGCTAACGTCTACACTTATTTAGAGTTCCAAGACGAGAATATGTCATGCAGTTTGCTAGAAAGGGAGTTCCTACTATCATTGACTATTTTACGTGCGAGCAGATGCGTACATTGGGTATCGTTTGTTTGTCCCATCCTAACGACTAGACGCTGTTCCTTGCCAGACCCTACGCCTACACGATGGAAACCACGCCGTAAAATCCTAAGTAAGAACATACTAATTAGATGTTCTAAGAGACTTGACGAAAGATATATTAGGAAGTTTACTTTGGCCATAGTTCAAAGAATAACTAGATCACATAAAAATTCAAACCCAGTCAGTAACAGCTACGCAACCACAGCTCGATTGCATATCAGTTACCAGTATGAGTCGTATATTTATTTATTTTTTTAAAAGTAATGTCATGGTATGGTTTAAAATAGAATCAAACAAATTATTTCTGTAATACATAAGTTTGTGGTTTGGAACTCTTATTTCAAATATACACCAACGACTTTTTAACACTCATAAAAACGTATTTAGAAGATTGTATATAACTTACCAAGGGTGGGTAAAAGGCTGATGGATCTGCTCCAAGTGGCATGTAGCCTTGACTAGCATACGCAGATGTGGGGTAAACTGAATCCCCTAGTCCAGGTACCCGCGGGTAGGACAGTAAACTAGGTGTATATTGGCAAGAACATACAGATTGTCCAGTATGCGGATTAGTCCCGATCGTCCGGCCATTCTCACAACATGTATTGGACATGGTTGTTGATGTGTTGTTAGGCATCAACTGAAAATCAAGGAGAAAGGCAATGAATATAAATAAATTTAACAAAATTAACTGAAACTAAATAAACATCTAAACACCCTTTTCATCTGATTATTCTTCAACATTACCATGGTATCTCTAAATTAATTTCTTTTTTTTCTACGAGATTTTCGTCAACGAAAAGCAAAGTCGTTTATATATACTCAAGCACTCGTATTAGGTTTCTTCTGTTATAACACGTAACATCATTGGTTTTATTATATGGATGAAGTTTCTGAAAGAACTAATGATACGCAACAGTAAACGATGTTCTCATTGGCTGCGCGAATAATGGACCTTATAAGTTCCTAAGAAAGAAAACCCCATAAAAGATTTTGTGCATTATTCGCGAACGCAAAAAATCAAATTGAACTAAACGACCACGCGTGTACACAATTTTTAACCTGCAATGTTTCATTTTCTGGTGTTTTTAAAGCTTATGTAAAAGGGCTCATTTAAACCTTTCCATATTTTGGCTTTTTCAAGCAACCTATTTCAGACCTCCTACTTTCATTTTAAAACCTGCTTCAACGTTTTGTTTTTGATTGTTTTATGTTTTATTTTACTTTCAATTCCTTTTTTTTAATTTTCTTTACTTTCTCTTTAGTATTTCACAAATGCTAGTTAACTCTATCGCACTCCTTAACAACACGATCATTATAACTAGGTATAATCGTTCTGTATTTACCTCTCTTGTCATGCAGAAAACAAAACAACACCTTTTATCACGTGTTCGATCTTTGAAATCATAATTATTCAACCAATATAATTATAGATCTATGCCATTTCCGGTACATTGTGTAGATACGCCTTAATGTGTGGACATTGCCAGACTTAGATCCGATTCCCAGTTAATGCTATACAAATGGTCAGTGGTTCTTTTGGTCGAAGATTATCAGACCTAGTCCCGAGTCTCAGACAATGGCATGGAACCAACTAGAATTTTAAGTGTTACACCGACTGATTAATAGGATTTATTTTACAAGATGAGTAGGACAATATGTTCATATCATCTGTGTTGCGTTTGTTCTGGTTCGGTGTACTTGATTTGAAATCTGCTAACGGACTTGAACCTGCTTCCTAGATAAAACATGTTCAATATCCATATGTTCACTATATCGTTATCAATTTAAAACAGATAACTTTAAGATAACCTTAAGATGTGAGATAAACTGACCAAATTCTACTTCAATTACACTTGATATCTATAACATATGTCTGAGAAATTGAACAATAGGAACGGCATATCACTCATTTAGAATGGGTATTCCCAAATTCATTGATGTTTGTCCTGAAAGTATTTAAATGTTCAGGTTTTTTTTTTAGTTTTATATTATATTTTAAGAAATGGAATAATGATGTCTCTCTCTGTGTCGTCAGTCACCATTTCAGTAATCTATATATACTTATATTTGTGACTGTCATTTGTCTGTTTAGGGTTGGCGGCTACACTAGGGCTGTCCTGGGGTTGAAATTTGGTGCATCGGGGTAGCTCGGACCGGGGAGTAGCATAGTCTAGGTGGTGTTGGTCTACAGCTTCCGGAGTTACTTGCACATCCCTGCCAGCACCGGGTTATCCGCCAGTTGTACTAAAAGTCTGATCTGATCTGTAATTGTCTGCCGGGAAGGGTTTTAGAATTATGTTCATTTACCATACAGGGAGAAATATAAAACCTCAACTGATAAATCCTCCCACCCTTATAAACCTTCTGACATTTCCATCTCCGTTTTCCTCTCTTTGCATCTATATTCAGAATGGGTGTAACTATGTTTTGTATCTTTACAAATGAGATATTTTATGCCAAACCATTGACCACATTCATACATAATAAAAGGAATCACAGAGACAAGCACACACACTGAAGTTTAGCGTTGTATATTCTGTTAACAATTAACATTTTTTATGCAAAAGCAACATTTATTTTATTCCAATGGCATGCATGTACTGTGTGCAGAAAAGAAGACCATCCTATACTTATCAACAATTCCTTCATGGCGATTTTGGACTATTTTGAATAAATCTTCCAGTGTAGATGTTAAATATCGCTGATTCATTGGTCTGGTTGTTAGTTATACCCCTCTAGAAGAACATTCTCATAAAACGTGCACGCTCTAGCGTGGCTTTATGCAAGAAATGTGTATACCACAAGCTGACGATCGGATTATCACTGACTCATTGGCGTGGTTCTTAGTTATACCCTTATAAAAGAACATTCTCATAAAACGTGCACCCATTAATATTGACAGTGAACATTTATTTTTACCGTCTTATAGCAACCCCCCCCCCCCCCCGTGTTATTTCTGAGACAAATTTAGCAAACGATAAACATAGTGTACTTAGAATTGCTACATGGGTTATAGCTATTTGTTTTCTTTATTTTTCGTTATGCGTTTTTCACTTTTAGATTTGAAATTAAATAATTGATAGTTCACTGACATAGTGGGTTCTATCAATATTTTGTGGAAGTATTTCTCGATGACTAGGATCTACCAACAGATGATGGGGGAAGGCACTAGATTTTGGCCATGGAAAAGTAATACAAAACAATTGCTCGACATACGGTACTAGGATTTGTCCGCTACCTGCCATGCATCTATCAGATATCCAACAGCCACAAAGCAGAACCTGTTAAGTCTAAATATTTGAAATACAGCTAATTATCTTTAAAAGGTGACTTTTTAGGTTTTGTTTGCTTTGGTAAGCAAGTCTAAATATCAGTTCGTTGGAATTAAGCTTTTACTTATATATGTACGCTTGATAATTATGGAAAAATAGATTGGAAAGTTTAACCGTCATTTTAATTAAAGGTTTCCAATGTGTTTGATCAAAATTATATCTTTGAATTATGGAAATATAGAATGGAAAGTTTAGCTGTGATTTTAATTAAAGGTTTCCAGATGTGTTTGATCAAAATTATATCTTTTATGGTTTTACACAAACCAGGTCATTTCGACACTATGTTTTTACACAGATCAGGTCATGTTGGCACTATGGTTTTACATAGCTAGCAAACTTTTGTTTTATTATTTTATTAACCATTATATTTGTTTAAAATTGAGTTTTATTATATAAAGAGTTAAGACCAAAACCATTGTCATCATTTGAAATTCACGCTGTTACCTCTTGTCAGATTTTAATAACATTTATGCTGGGAAAACATAAAAAAATAACAACATTACGTTTTATATGAATGAGATTATTTTGGAATTTTACTTGTTTTTGAGTCAATATGTTGTCGATTCTATTCTCCATGATGCGCATAAAACAACAAAGACACATTGATCGTTCAAATATACATAAAGGCTTACAAGATAAAATTATATTACACACGAATGTTTTTTCATGTTTGTACAACATAAACACCATATGTTTTCTTTGAAAACCATGTAAGAATTGTTGCAATTATTTAATATATACAAATAAATACTACTTAATATTTTTTGTCAATAAACGTTCATTCTTAATTTATGCATAGTCCAATAACCCAGTAACCTTACCATTATTCTTTATAGAAAGGGAGCAACAGAAGTACCGTTCATAAATTGTTACCTTTTGATCTCCGTGTTGAGGCCTGGACATTTCAAAGAACATATTTATAAAGAACTTCAATGATGTTATAATAAAACTTCAATGATTTGAGAACAATAAATATTAAAAATAGTGAAAATATAATTTAATGGCTTTGAAATGTTTTAGAACTTTGATTACCTCAAAACTCAATAGATGTATAAGCCCAAAACCTTACAATTTAATATTAATAATACAACCCAAAATCACGTGGTTCATACAACTCCAAAAACCAAGAGTTTAACGTTAATGAATTTTTAAAAATAAACGTTTGTGATTTTACTGTACTTGAGAGAGGTAAGTATATAAATAAGTTGGGTTACAACAGGATTTTTCGAGTTTCAACATTTAATTAAAATACCTGTATAAAAAAATTGTGAACTGTTTTCACATACTGAGATGCGAATATTTTAATATTGAAGGTATTGATTTTGCAATAAACCGAATTCATTATGAACTACACACATTATTAACATTATGCATGCCCAAATTTAACAACAGTTATGTGATCTTTCCATTGTAAAATTCTGAATGTAATAGAACCAGTATTTGGAAACACTGAAAGATTTTATTTTTTTAATTTCATTTATTGATTTAAAGTAAAGAGAGAGAGAGGGGGGGGTACGTCTACTCGACACAAACTATGTCATTTCGGGACTAACATGGTTCTGTGGGAGGACCCGGAGAAACCCACGAGGATGGACAGGCGATTCTACTCCTTGTCACGTACACCCGGGGAATCGAAACCACGCCAGTTGACTCAATGACACCCCTTATGATACAACGCGCACGCGCTAACCATTCAGCCATTCACCCCTGTCCCCACCCCCTTACTTATTTAAAGGGTCTTTTGAAATCGCGATGAAAAATTGTCTTTAAATTTTCTTTGCTTTTTGTCTATAAGGATTTCTCATAAACCATCCGTAAATTATGCAATCTAATATAGATCATGATGCTTTATCTTGAACTTCCTTATTTTCAGTGCTATACAAGTGCCTCGCATAAACAACCGGTTTCTGAGGGTGTAAATTATGCTACCAATTAAGTATACAAAGTTCTCTAACAAACACCACCGTCTGGGCTAATAGGTTTTGGTCGTTAGTAACGATTTAATACATTGCCCTTTTCAGATCGATTTCGCAACTAATATATTGGTATATAACATAGCATTGCAGACATACCAGTGTAAAATTCATAATACTGAGAAATCAAAGTAATAAAGATGTGTTCTGTTTAATAAACACAAAGCTGCACATCGGTTTCTCTACAGATAGAATACATATGCATATAAGTTATTATTATAAACTATTGAACAATTTCCCCCAAAAAAGGATAAGGTTTCAATGATCCCCTGAAGATCAGTTAACGGCAGATTATACCAAACCAGATTATACCACTACTAACAACTTCTAATGCCCATAACTTTGCCAACAACGGGAATATATGACTATATAGCTATGTCTAACACCCAATTGTATTAAAAGCTAGTAGTTTTTATTATGTGTAATTGGAGTGTTGTCAGTTTACAGTAGAGATCAATATTAACGTCAATATTTTACCGTAAAAACCAGTTAATCCTGAATATTCCTATTGATTTCTACTCATAACTCTAATAAATCTGAAACATAAAACGTGTGTCACTATGTCGCTTAGTCTTAATTAAATTAAATACTTCAAACTCCCCTGATTTTTTTTTCTGCTAGAAAATTTGCTTTGATGTATTTTTGTATGATTTTAAAGCATATAGTTGTATGAAATTTATATCCTTTTTTGCGTTGGCTTTTTTTTAATACCAATATCTTTTGTCTGGACGAACAATGCTGTTTTTTGTTTAGCGATGTAAAAATTGTTTCAGACAATAACTGCATTCTCGAATTTCATTATATTCATAGAACATTAACAACAAATCATAAAACTAGTTCTGACGTTTTACGTCGTTGTTGGCAGAAATTGTACATGGCAGTATTTAGAAACGGCGATTATTTTTGGGGTTAGTAGAGACTTGGGGTGGGATATAGTGTAATGTCTTTTGAACACAATACTTTAATTATGGTTACTTGTACAATGGGTAGATAAGGGTGTGGGTGGGGAGGGTGTGGCGTAGGGGAGGGTGCGGCATAGGGGTGTGTGGGGTGGGGTGGGGCTTTAATAGTCAAAAATGATTCCAGTACTATACAATATTCTAGGAAAAAATGATTTTATTGACATTCACTTGAACATGAATAACACTATGAATGCACTTTGCAAATGTCCTTCATTATCATCTTGATTCTTATTCAAGCATCTCAGGAATATCGACCAGCATCTTTCTTAGTAGAATTATTGCTTATAGAAAGCTCGGCAATTTATGATCCGTCACTTATTGCATGTGTAACTTTTGCATGAAAATGTACCACGTGAACTCAAATAAACTGTTCTTAATCTGTGTTATCACAATAAACTGGTCTTAATCTATATTTATCAGATTTACATTTAAGAATTTTATCAAAGAATTTTCAGGTACAACATTTGGAATCAAAACGCCTTTCAACATCAGAGTATCTCATTCATTAAGCATAATATTTTCATCTGTATCATTAAATGTTATTAAAGTCACATGTCATAGCAACATCAATTTATTTATTTAAGGGAGAATAAAAAGTTTTAAGGTAAAAGAAGTCAATTAAATGCTCAACTGAATCATAATAAACTCAATATTCTGACAAGATTTTCAACTTTGATAATGCTCCCCAAATTAACGTAATTTAATACCAAAGAAACAATAATTAAAGCAAACTTTATTTTGATAACTAAATCTAAATATTTATAAGTTCCTGTAGCTCAGATAAGTGATAGATATAAAGTAATCTGTTTTCTTAAAGAAATATGAGAAGCCATTAAAAATATATTTATAAATTAGCATCATTTAATTGCAGTAAAAGGGATGAATTTTGTCTTAGGGTCTCCCATACCAATTTTAAAACGGGGTGTAGTCCTTAAAGCGGCAATGAGTCTATGCAAGTCAGAATAATTTGCCGATTAAAGTAATACTAATTGTATATTAATTTACATTCTAACTATTTAAACTCCGATACATGCAATATTCTTGAATAAAGCCTAGCACTTATCTCTCTACCACTTCACTTACTTTATCCAGACGTTCTTTAGGTAGCCTACCAATTTATGAATTATTGTATTTGAGAAATGCGGAATTTTGGAAAAAATCAGTAAGCTTGTAACTTACCATAATATAATATGCTTAAACTCCATACAACGAATGAAAGTGAATGGTTAATAACAGTATTGATACTTTAAATTTCTATTGGGTATTCATGTGTTCAATAACATCTTTTCAATGGATGGTTTCTTGGAATATACATTAACTGTATGGATGATTAGTGGTATTGTTGATTAATATTACTTCCTGGGTCGTTTCTTAACTATTTTATGCAAAAGGAAACCGTTCAACCATTGTCAATACACAATCCATTACGTAACACTAATTGGAAACTAATGAGCATTTCACGATAGATTTATTCATATTACCACAAATCGAGAATTGAAGCATGATTTAATGTATAATTTTTCTGATTCGCAGAACCATTTTTTTTGTATGCTATGTAAGATATAAATATAAACTTGTTTCAGTGTCTATACATAACACCTGCAACCCCCCCCCCCCCCCCTCATCCAACACCCCGTAACCTAACATGATGAATTTTTAATTCTGATGCCACTGCTATATTTTGTTATTAATTGATAATTCTACTTGCACGTGTACATGTAGATTCTGAATACAGACTGAATTACATTGTTGAACATTAATATGATTTTTCAAAATGATATCATTGCTCCCGGTTTGTTCTCTTCGTGGTATATTGCCTGTAATGCCGATATTTTTAAGCATCAGTGGGATTATATTAAAAATGTTATTCGTATTGATCAGCAGAGGTCATTAATCTTTCTATTGTTCATATACATTTAAATCTATCCGGTAACAAACTATTTTGATATTTTTTTGTGAGACACATTAATATCGGTTCTTCCCAATGTCCTGAAGAGTTACCGCTTTGTAGATAGTGTTTTTATTTAATTTGCATAATTTAATTATAATTTGGCGATGACGTCATACCACATTTTAACATATTATTTTTTTAAATAACATTTTCACATTAATATGTGATAATCGCTTTCTACGCATATTAATAAGACAATAACAAAGGTGCAATCGCCCCTATTAACACACAACCATTCAACGTTATTTTGTTTTTAATGAGTTAGATTATAATTCATAATTTGAATAATATACATACACGTGTTAAAACTAGGGAGGTGTTATGAATTTGAATATTGTTCATATCTAATAGTAGAACACGTGTTTTTATCAAATCAATTTAAATCTGACATAAATAAATAAATCTGAACTGATAGTCAACTGGTGGTGATTGGGGTGTGTTGGGTATTCGATTATACATTATGATAACAAGTCTATGAATGTTATTCATACTCTTAAACTCATATCATATATTATGCACTTTATTTGTGTAGCCCTTACCCTGAATATATTTCATATTTTATGAACATTAACATTTAAAATTAGAATGTATATACATTTATAATATACGGCATAATTCAAATTTAATATAACCTCTTCATGTTGTAGTACATATTAATGTCTCAGATAGTCTTTGTATTATCAATGTATTAATGCATAAATTTTCGGATGCGCTTACTCGTGTTTGTATATTTTAAGTTAGGCCTAAATACAGAATCATATAGGTCATAAACCTACGCAATGCATTACATTGTAAAGAAATATGTGAATGCAAATTACACACACAATTGTCCACTCTCAACATCATTATACAATTCGCATTGTATCAGAGACATAATTCGTTTCGCATAATTATAATTATGTTAATTAATAGGAAACAATTCTATCTATTATTTACCAATTCTATATCATATTAACTATAAATACATTAACATTATACCTGTATAAACGGACATAAAGATAACTAGGTGACACTATAATACGTTAATTAAAGGTAAATTACCTGTGGTTGAGGGATAGGTGATGGTGTTGACGAATAATTATACAGGGACATCTTTTCTTTCTATTGTTCATTCGTTCAATTCTTCATTCTATGGTCTGATCCCACGATAATTAGTAAAATTCAACCGTAAGCCCATCCGAGCCAGGTAATTTCTCTCTCTTCGTCTGTTTCACTTAATCAGGTTAGTCCAAAATTCATCAACAATAACTCCTTATCTAGATGGTCACTTGAATTTAGGTCTTAGGTCCGAATGTCCACTTTATATTAGACAACTAGCCTACTTCAGATGATAACGTTTCAATTCACGCACGACCGAGACAATCATTTCATAATCCCTCTTTTTAAAATTTCACTCAATTCAATGTTCGGACTGTAAGGATTAAAGAAATAACCGGTGTTTAGAGGTAAACCGTGTTGAGAATGGTGGAAGGGTAGAATGTGTACACACACTCCGTCTTTAACTATAGAACGTGGCTAGAAACCGTCAAGTGAAACTGACGAGCTTTAACCAGTAACTCCGCCTCTTTTCTCCTTGAATGACAGATGCCCTAAGTGCTCGGTTTTGCATGACCATTTCATTTCATTAATTTGATATAGAGGGATTTTTTTACTGAATATCTATTTAGTTGTTTTATTAGTAGAAAAGAGATTTAATGAACTTAGTTATCGAACTAGTTTTTTTTTATTAACTCGGAAAATCTGACTAGTTTCACATACGCTCCTTCCAACTTAAACTTAATCGCCGAGTTTTAACAACCAATTAATAAAGTAAGATGGCAATAATATTTCTTTCATAGACCCTCACCATAATTTAATGTTTTACAGGTCCATATAAAACATATTTTCTCATTGCATTTTACTTTCTTTACTATTCAATGAATTGGAAACAGTAGTATTATCTAAAAAGAATACTCCAAGTATTCTTGTTTCTTTGTGTTATTCTTCTGCATTTTATTATTTATTCCCCATTCTGATTTCTTTCAATTTATAAGGGGTCTTGAGATCTTATTATCGAGAATACCAAAGCTGTTAAAATCGCTCTTGTGTTGTTTTCAAATACATTTTAAGTGTCCATACAAAAGGGAATTTTTATACGCAGGAAATGAGAGAAAGTTACTTTATATATTTTAAACTTTCTCAGAAGCGAAATCTGCTCGACTATTTGAATTATAGAACATATTTCAAATTCCCATCCCGATTGTCTTTCAAGGCGCATAAACCAAACATTTTAGGCATTCAACTGTGGTTAATGTAGGCAGAAATATAATTTTTAATTCAAAAGTTGAATGCTCTCTTGAATGAAATTGTTTTTCATAAAATCTTCATTAGAATGTTTACCAGGTTGTTGGTAACAGGGAGGCAGTAATCCATTCTTTGTATTCAAAATATAAAATGCATAAAAGAACAGCTTAGCAATTCCCACTGCGACATTATTCCTGGACATTGAATAACACGTATGTATGTAAGGAGAATAATATCTCCCTAAGATATTAATCTTTAAAACCCGAGTGTCCTAATGCAATTGCTTTAAAAATGTGTATAGGCTATTAATATCAGGGAGGTAGAAAATCTAGTAAAATATATTCCATAAAAACAATTTACTCCTCAAGTTTGACTCATTCGTCGGGACTATTTAGTTAAAGCCTGCAATACAAAGGACTTCGGCGTAGTTGAAATTGGTCTCTTCTCCAACAACCCAATATCAACATGTTGCAGAGAGCAAGTAAAAAAAAACCTTGCATAATTGTATTAGATTTAAAATGACCCTTCATCAAACCCTACTTCATTTTATACACTAGAGTATCTTTACGTCAATAAACGTGTAAATGACGCGTGTTGATTAATTACACCTGAGGGAATCGTCAGGTATTTCATGTGATTTTACTGTTTCAATAGAACTATAGTGAAATCATGTAGTACACCAGCAGGAGATAGAGAACTATTGAAAACTAGCAGAGAAATATTATAATATAAAAACAGAAATTTGAGTTAAAATGAAATGATTGTAATTAACAAAGCTATTCTCTTCCACAATTATTTCTTCTTTTTTATTGCTATTTTTTATCATTTAGAAATCGTACCATGCTAAGCACCACGTGAAATAACCACAAAGACCATATAGTTTTCTAAATACCTGAAATAAATAATATAATGCGGTTTAACTGAAATAATTTTGAGATGAACACGCTATATGTTTTCAGTGGCTACGTTTGCAATGCGATGGGGAGGATTTTGACCCTACAAAGGAGTGTCCGCGAGATCTTCCAAATTCAACTACATATGGATATTTACGTGCTCTACCTAATCTAGATTTCTATCCCCCCCACACGAAAGATTAAACACACTCATTTTCCAGGATAACCTTCCAAGATACTGATTACCGGTCTTGAAAAGTCACCGAACTGTCCGCTCGGAATTGGAACCATGGACATTGGATGCAAATAAGGCACAAATAGAACTTGATAAACCCTTTCACTATTCAGATGTTTAATTTTATACCACAGAAATAACGATTACCGCATTGTTGTTACATATCCGAATGCAAGACTATTAATGTTTAAAATTGAACGTGGATAATTTTGACTGAAGTTAAAACTAATGATTTAAATGTAAACAGCAAAATAAAACGTGTCAATCAAGTGTCCGTTTCAACATATGAACCAATCTGGAACCTGGAAAGGAAGACTCAATAGGCTAAACGTCCGGTTCCACGCCGTGTAATTAACAGAAAGAAGGAAGATAAGTTGCTCTAATTAAATACGATATTTATTATGTTCACCCAACACATTTTCCGGTCCTTATCAACATTTTCTAGGTTATATTCATGTTGAATCGTCCAATTTTATCTTTTCAGTATACGCCAGTAATCGTAACGATTGCCATTAGCAATACAATAATCGTAATGATTGAAATTAACAATTCAGTAATCGTAATGATTGAAATTAGCAACTCTATAATCCTAATGACTGGAATTAACAATAGAATAATCGCCATGATTAAATTAGCAACACAATAATCGTAATGATTTAAATTAGCAATACAATAATCGCCATGATGAAATTAGCAACTCAATAATCGTAATAATGTAAATTTGTAAAATGTGATGATTACATGCATTGCGGTGTAAAATATAATGATGGCATTTGCTGCAACTTGAAATATAATGATTACATTTACTGCAGAGTGAAATGTAATCATTTTACGTATTGAGTGAAATACTGTTCACACATTTTTATAGTGGGAAATATGATGGATAAATTGGTGAAATGAAACGATTACACCCATTGTGGTGTCAAATACGTAGTACACTTGGATAAATGTTGTGATTACGCTTACACTGAAATGTAATGATTATAAATATTAAGAATAGCTGTGGTTACAATTTATGCTATGGCGTGAAATGTATTACAACTACATTATCGAATGTAAGGGTTACACATTTTGCTAAGAAATGTTGTGATTACAAGTGTTATGCTATAATGTAAAATATTTTATTATTACAATGTATTGATGGCAAATACCGTTAAGATTATGGTTTTTCTGCTAAGATCTGAATTATACTATAATTAGTATATTAAATGCATGGTTACAATTATTATGATATGCAGTGATTACCATTGTCACACAAAAATATAATGATTACATTTAATTATTATCGATTGCAATTTATTTGAAAATATACATCCGATACCTCTATAAAATTCAGACCATGACAAAGTAAATTGTTTATTTTATCTTAATCTACATGGTGTCTTTCTTCAGCGATGCTAAACACAATTTCACTTTTAAAATGTATAATACTATGTTATTATGTTTCTATATCAATATAAAAAAATTCCAGTCAAACAAAATATTAATTTGGTAAAATGTTTACCTTTCTATGGACGCATTGTTTGCACCGAGGTGATGAATAATGTGTTAGAGATGTACTTCCGGTGGTATTTGATAATTGATTACCTCTGAATATTCTTAGAAAATCGATCATTTTGTTAAAAGAATCGATTATCGATCTCCCTTACCGACAATCCTCCTAATTATTTATAGTTAACATTGTCGGGTACCGTGACCCCAAACCACTTAAAACATTTCCGATAATGTCTTTTATTACACAGCAATTAATACAATCTCATAATAAAAGCACGTCATAGCAATTAAAACAAACTTAATTTATAATTACATATACATGTTGAGCTTTTCCTCTTACAAAACATTAAAATCAAAAACTCCCATCACATCGATATCTTTTTATATTTCACTAAATTTTCATTCATTGTGTGATACGTTTTATTTTTAATTGAAATTCAATATTCACACTGTGATGAGCCGACGATCAATAAGAGTTTTTCTCGTTCTATCTCACTTACCTTTCCCTGATAGATGAACGAACTATTAAAGTTAGAGTAGCTGCTGAAATACAATATTGTTAAGTGTGACTTAATACTTACAAAAAAAGTCCGAAAACATGATATCTATGCTGATATGTTTTTTTTTAAATATGAATAAAAGGTAAAAAGGTTAAATTCGTACCTATGCGTATCGTATATTTCGTAAATGTAGATGCTGAAATACAGCCTGCTGAAATGCAGCATCGTTAATGCAAGTGTGAATTTTCTGCTATTTGATCTCATTCAATACTCCCAGCAAAATTGTAAAAACAATAGTTATAATAAATAGATAGTAGGAAGAAAACGATGCGCATTTATATAATTAATTATGTTGCACTCTAAAATATCCCATTTTAGATTAGACATTCCCAGTAAGAATACAAAACAATTAACAATATCGTATTTGGAAATAACTCTTGTTCCTTTAATTTTGTGTGTGTGTGAGACATTGTTTTGTCTGTGCATGTGGGTGTTTGTGACATTTATTTTGTGCTATAATTAATATGATCTAAAATTCAATAATGAATTCACACAACAAAGCTTGGAGGGTAAAGATTTTATGGCCAATGAACATATTCTTTTTTTCTTTTTTTTTAATTTTAAAACAAGGGCTTTTATGTTGTTTATAGCACTGAAATCATCGACTATAGATCCGATGCGTGCATGTACCAATATTTAAATTCGAAAAAGATGCTAAAATTGATAAGAAAAACGGTTTGTAGTTATGTTTCTGTCATCCTCCGTTTCGTGATTCACAATAGCCATGGTAGTTTTATCTAGATGGAGGGAATAACAAAATATTAAAATAATATTGCTGGTTATAAAAAAGCAAACATTGAAATTGTTCTGGCTCATTACGACCATTATTTAGGTATCGAAAATAATGAGGTTAGCTTTGCCATACTGTCCGCTAGCACGCCATCCAATCAAATAACACGATGGATTCATTGTTGACTTGGGCTCTAGAACCAAGCAGAGACAAAACAGTCAATTTTCACGGGCAATTAACAGTTGGAACCAAGAAGAAAAGTGTTGATTT